TACTATTTTTTAAATTTAGTATATTTAAATATGAAAATTAGAAAAACTAATTCCTACCTTTAGTATACGACAGGATCCTTTTACCACATACACTGATCAGCTACAACATTAACACCACTGACAGGTGAATTGAATAACATTGATTATATCTTTACAATGGCACCTGTCAAGGGATTGGATATTTTAGGCAGCAAGTGAACAGTCAGTTCTAGAATTTCATGTTTTGGAACTAGGAAAGAATGAGTAAGCACAATGATTTGAGTAACTTTGACAAGGGCCAGATGTTGATGGCTAGACAACTAGGTCAAAGCATCTATAGAACTATAAGTCTTGTGGTGTTTTCCTGGTATGCAGTGGTTGGTACCTACTAAAAGTGGTGTAAGAAAGGACGACTTGTTGACTGTTGTCAGGCTCCTGGGTGCCCAAGGCTCATTGATATATATGGGGAGCGACTGCTAGCCTGTCTGGTACAATCACACAGAAGAGCTACTGTAGCTCAAATTGGTGAAAAAACAAATGCTGTCCATGATAGAAAGGTATCGGTTTGTTGCATATGGGGCAGAGTGTCAATTATCGAAAGCACCTTCAATGTGGATATGAGTGTCAGAACGGACTGATCATGTGTATTGCCCGGTGCGCTTGCATCATTTATCTAGGGAAGAAAAGAGTGCAGGATGTCCTATGGGAAGAAGGAAGGCCAGCGAAGGCAGTGTTATGCTCTGGGAAATGTTCTGCAGGGAGACCTTGGATCCTGGCATTCATGTGAATGTTTCTTTGAAACATACCAACTACCTAGAGATTGTTTTGTTCCGGGTCATTAAAAAACATATTACCCCAAAAAGAAGGGGAGATGAGTCACAATTATTAAAAGAAATCAGAGGCATATTGGATATCAGAACTAGGTACCAGATTTCCACAGGGTATCAATTTTGCTTGCGATAGCAATACCATAAAAAGTATATCCTTGGAACCGGGGGATCTGGGTGAACCACATATCCAAAATTCACCCAGATCCGTTCAGTACTTTGGAAAATACAGTTTAATGCAGATTCTGCAGAACATATACAGGCTAAATGAAAAACAATCACTGTATAATGTGTCCCCTGCTGTATAGTCCAAAACCACTGCACGATGTCTCTGTGCACCAAATACTGGCGAGATGGCACCGTGTTGAAAAGTCCAAACAGTGTCTGTGAGTTAAAATGGCCGCCATCCATTGTTCTCACCATGTGCTTCTGATACAGGAAATGGTGGCCACCCAGTAACTCCACAGTATGTCCCCAGATGGTTCTTAAAGGGCAGCAGCAGCACAACACAAATCCATTATGCCCAAATCATGTCTTTAAAGGGCAATACATCCCAGGGGCCATAGTCACAGGGCAAGAGGCGGGCAAGCAGTCCTCTCCAGGCACAAGTGGCGAAGGGCACTTCGTCACACCTACCAATGTTAATTTTGACATCATGTTTAAATGTAGTTTTAGTCATAGTCTTTTGACTAAAAAGCTATTTTAGTTTTAGTTGTATTTTAGTCATCTGAATTGCTTTAGTTGACTAAATCTCCAGTAGATTTTATTCGACTAAATCTCCAGTAGATTTTAGTTGACACAACGAAAAACATGTTTAGTTAAAGCAGCTATCTGTCTTTTTTGCCTCTTTCTCAGCCCCTCTGTATCTCTTTGTGTCCCCCCAGCCCCTCTTGGTGTCTCCTCCCCAAGTCCCTGTCTGTCTCTTTTGCCCCTTCCTCAACCCCTATTTCTTTCCATAGCCCCATTTGTGGGTCTCTTCCCCTCAGCACATTGTCTCTATCTCCCACAGCCCCTCTATGTCACTTTGTGTGTCCCTCCCAGCCCCCTCGTGCATCTCACTTCCACCACGTGTCTCATTCCCACAGCTGCCCATGTATCTCAATTCCTCCCCAGCCCCTCCACATGTCTTATTCCCCCCCCCCCAATCCCTCCATGTGTTTCATAACACCAAGTCCATCCTTGTCTAATTCTCCTGGCCCTCCATGTGCATCATCCTTCCAGCCCTCCATGTGTCTCATACCCCTAGACCCTTCATGTGTCTCATTCTCCAAGCCCCCTCAAGTTCCTCATTCTCCCAGCCCCCCCATGTATCTCATTCCCCCAGCCATCCTCATGTGTCTCAATCCCTCAGTCCCCCATGTGTTTCAGTCCCTCAGCCACCCATGTGTTTCCTTTCCTCCCTCCCCCATGTGTCTTACCTGCCAGTGTTAATTTTGGTGACAAACTTCAATTTAGTTTTAGTCATGGTCTTTTCGCTAAAAATCCATTTTAGTTTAGGTCGTATTTTAGCCATCTGAACTATTTTAGTTTTCGTCTATTTTTAGTAACATTAATACTGGTGACTACCTATGAAGACGGGGTTACAATACAGACTGTTATAAAGTACTTGACAATAAGATGGATAGTTTTTTTACCCAATGAGATTTTCTCACCCGCAGTTCTTATCTGTCAATTAGGCTCTACATACCAATCAATGTATAGAATGCAGGATAATATCGAAAGCTATTGCGAAGGTTTACGATATAAAGAGCCAAATAAGACAATGTGCCTAATTGGCTTCATTTAATAACCAACTTAGACAATCTGGTTCCTTATGCCAACTTATGACCCACAGAATTACCTTATTTAACCAGGGAGCTCAATGTTCTCTTCTTGTGACAAGAGACCCTTTTTATTACCAGGATAATGAATGTGATAAACTAGTGGCTGATGTGTTTAAACAGAGAATAAAAAAAAACACCCTAAGGCTGAGTTTGCATTTACAAATAATAAGCTGATCCTATTTTAGAGGTGGATCTAACTTGATTGCTAGAGCAGTCTTTTTATTTTTTTTTTACAAATTACTAATTACATGTGCTGTTTCCCCCCCCTGTTTTTGCCTTAAAATATCTATATCAATGTAATTCCGCTCATATTGTATCTTTCTTGTATATATGTTTAATAGATTGTATCTTTCCTGTACTTGTGTTTTATATACATGAAAACTTTAATAAACACATATTTTTAAAAAAACCTCTCTGTCATAGTTATGTTTTGGTTTCTAATACAATTCTCCTAATTCATGTTAAGTTTGTTTTTGTGTCAAGGGTTCATGTATTATTGTGTATAAGCAGGGCTATTTACGTTTAAAAAGGCTACAAAGAGCCAACTACTATATTGGTTTACTCTAAACCTTAATCCTTCGTAAATCTGACAACACATAAATTAACGGAACCCAGTTACATTACAAAGCAAGGTAGAGATGTACAAAGATGCATCCACCTGTCGAAAATAAGAAGCAATCTACACCTCCATACTCCCTCAGGAATTCAACAAAAATACATTTATTCTAGTGTCTTCACACAGTGAGAAATGTAAGAGTTTTCAAAGTCAATTCCATGTGAATTTCACATTTTAGACCAAATTAGTGGAAGGGTAGTTGACTTGGAGAATTATGGCCTTGAATTTGAAATTCACTATGAATTCACTTTAATTCATAGACAATTCATACTTTATTAAATAACCCATACAGTGTTTAATGTGCGTGAAAAAAAAAATGAATGGTTAAAAAATTGCCTAGTACCCATTGTAGTGCTCTGAGAAAGGTACCTTAAACACCAATAAGATATCGGAATTCATTCCCCTTTGTTACATTACAAAGCAAGGGAAGCCAATTAACATCCAGGGAGCAATTCCCATGACTTTAAATAGCTCATATTCTAATACTTGAATTAGGGCGTAATACATAAATATAACAAAACATGTATATGGAATTAGGAGAAGCCATTTTTTATATAACATGCAAAACATGACCAATCTGATTTAATTCATTCAATCTAATATTACATTATTATTGCATCTACGCATAAAATGTAGCCATCTGTTTTTCTATAACATTGTTAAAAACTTAAGAACTATAAGTAGCAGACTATTTGTCTATAACTGCATTAATGTTTACTTGTTCGACATTTATATTTCCTTCATTTTTCAACTTAAAAACATTTGGAATGGAAATAAGACATAAACTAATTTGTGGACTATTTTATGTTGTATGTCTTCTTATTTGTTTATTTTTAATAGCGCATGGGTTACCAGAGCACCATCAATTCACTTGCTGCGTGTGCTAATCTGTCTGAGGTTATTAATGCGTGATCCATTTTATCAGGTGTGTTCAATAAACATTTCTAAATTTTACTGTGTATTGTTTCTGAGGTATATATATTTTTGTTCAAATTAATCATTTGGCTATTTGGCTCTACATATTATGAAGATCAACAAAACACATTGTCAAATGTGCCCTGTCTCTGCTCCATTTCCTGTGTCAGGGAGAAAGGTGTGTAGTTTCTTTCACACAGGAAATGCAGCTGACTTAAACTGCTCCTTTGGTCAAAGAAAGTCAAGAGTAGGAATTAATTATAAGACAAAGTATTCCTACTTAGTCTTATGTTTTAAATAAAACTAGATCAGAAATAAAGAAAAGAAGAACAGATTCTGAGAGAGGAAGAGAATGGGAAACCATAGGAGAAATGTAAGTTTGGTGTGACTCTGCTGCTTTAAATGGCAATATCCATAATGGGTAGGTCTGCCCTCTGAATGGCATGTCCTCCTGGCATCATGCACACCAGACTGATAGCCTCCATGACTAAACCCCACCACAGTAGACCTTGCAGAGAGCTCTGCTGATGTACTCTCTGCATGGTCCTAATGTCATCCACACAGTGCGAGCATGTCTAAAGATGTCCCAGGAAATGGGACACCGGGAAACAAAATTGCAGAGGTGGGATAGAACCATAATAGGGACTTTCCTGGTGAAACTGATACAGTTGGTCTGAAATTGCAATGACAACTGGAATATAAACGTTGTTTGAGGACTTGTTTAAAGCTGTCAGGTTGTATGATGGAACAATGTGGAGTCCCCACTTATTAATGAACTTAGAATTTTTAATGAACCAAGTGGGGTTGCATTAACCCCTTAAGGGGTTAAATCATCTGCAGATGTCTCAGGAGGGGATAGAAGACTATTTGTCTGTCACCTGTACTCAAGGAGAAGTGGACAGACAAGTAGGCAAAAATGGAGTGGGGGACCCAAGTGGTGGAAACATAGGGGTAAGCTACTCAAGTGGAGGGAGATACAAACAAAAGTCAGGAGGAGGGAGACACAATCAGAGTATAAGACAACAAACTGCAGTGACAACCGTGCTTAGAGTGCCTCTTTAAATTTAACAATTCCAGATGTGTTCTAATGGGCAACTCTGCCCCAAATACCACATACCCTAGGTACATTTTATGACCACTGGTCTGGAGAGATAAGAAGGACTTTATGAGAACATTGTTGGCAACTTCAGAAATTAGCTTCATAATATATTACTGACATTTTACGTGTAACTTTTATAACAGTACCTTGCCCCAATTCCAGTGAACGCATTATAATTACAATCCCCCTTTCAAGGTACACGTTAGTAGAAAAACATATTGTTGTTTTTATATAGACACTGAAAAGGCATTTACAAGTACTTCATATTCATATAGGAATTTAGTCTTCCACTCCCTCCTGAAATGGTTTTGTAGACTACTTGTAAATAAACATAATTTTAACCCCTTAAGGACACATGACATGTGTGACATGTCATGATTCCCTTTTATTCCAGAAGTTTGGTCCTTAAAGGGTTAAAGAATATGGGATTACTTTAGAGGCTCCCTCCTCTTTTTCTACACATATGTTTAAAACCATAATGCATTCATTATCATTTCTATTTTATTCTCTCTCTCTCGTTTATTTTAGGGTACTCTTCACCAAATGAATGGAGTTGATGTTCTTGCTCAGGTAAAATTAAGACAAACTAATTTTCACTGACATTAATCATGAATTACCATTATTTAAGTTTGCCAGATCAAAGTTTCCATTGTTATATGGTAACTGAACAACCCAGGGCTGTATTTCCTAGAAAACAATTCCAGCAAATCAGATGAAATTTCACCCATGAAACACTTACCTCCACTTGTCCTAACACCCTGGTCTTCATTCTGAATAAAACCAAATTCTTCTGCCAGGGTTCTATTCTATAATTTATCATTGTCCTGGATAAACTACAAATGGTGGTCGTTAGTGATGTCCCGAACGGTTCGCGAACGGTTCGCCGCGGACTCATCATTCCAGCCAATCAGCAGCAGACCCTCCCTCCCAGACCCTCCCACCTCCTGGACAGCATCCATTTTGAAGCTGCATTCTTAGTGAGCTGTCCAGGAGGTGGGAGGGTCTGGGAGGGAGGGTCTGCTGCTGATTAGCTGGAATGATGAGTCCGCGGCGAACCGTTTGCGGTGAACCGTTCGCAAACCGTTCGGGACATCACTAGTGGTCGTTCCTTTGTCTTACTCATCAAATTTTGTAGTTAAAACTTCTTGGCTGCACTCTAGCAGCTAGGAAAGGTCAAAGAAGAAAAGCAGAACATTCTGCAATATAGGATTTTAATTTTTTTTAATCAAACACATTTTTGCCTTATTGTCCTTAAAAGTTAAAAAGGTAGAATTATTAACATACCGGATAAAAGCATTTATAACTATAGATAAGTAAACAGTCATGAATCAGCTCGTTGTGGGCATTCCATTGTAGGTGTTCTATTGGCACAAAAAACCTGAATCCAGAAAGCAAACGTGTTTTTTAAACAAAACCAGAAGCCAGATTCTACAAATACTTCAGTGTGTGTTTAGGCAATCAACACCTACGCTACATATATTTAGCGGTGAGAAAGTCTCTCAAAGAAAGTGTTATTTAATAATGTTTATTTATAAATGTGTCTAAAGAAAACCTACAGTTCAAAACATCATCTAGAAAGAATAGCATTTTAACCATTGATACACCATGTAATATATCTCAGATCTCTTTTTTGACTTTGATTACCATGTAACAAATAAATTGACGCCTCATCCGCTAACAAGATATACTCATTTAAAATTTTCTTCTGCTCAAGTTACCTTGCCCTTTGTGTAAATGTTTCACCCCTCAGAGAAACAATTTTGTTAGGTTATTACATAAAGAAACAAGAACTCGTGGAGATAATGAATAATCATGAAATAAAACACCCACATGAACGAGGGATAACCCCTAAACAGTCAAAAGACTTAGCTCATGGCAGAATATCAAAATGCCCTACCTAAACCAAAGTAAATACTAATTAAAGATAAAAAATATATATATATATATATATATATATATATATATATATATATATATATATATATAAAAGAATAAACTTTATTATTACTAACAAATTCCACACAACACATAATTTCCTTAACATTATGATGGGATATATCCTAGTACACTTAAAATAATTTTAGGTACTAAGCACTAAGATGTGTACTTTGGGTTGAATCCCACATAAGCTACAGTGTTGTGCATATATTGCTACAAAAATACAACGATCTGAGACTCACAGAATAAATTTAAATACAGTAATCTATGAAGTAGAGACAATTGCCCTATGTAGCTAAATTTGACTAAATTAGGTAGGAGAGCTCAGGGGCAGCTGCGCTTAAGGGGGAACACAAACTATATGAAGTTTAGAATAGTAAAAAAAGAGGAACATTTTAATAACTAGAAAAGACCACTAAGTAGACATGTACACATATCACTCCCTAATTAAGTCCCTAGAGTGCCTTAGAGGGCACCTTGCTGCAAACTAACATTGCAGCGATGTACCTAAAAGTCCATAGGTAACAGCAGATCTAGCAAGGACTCCCTTCCGAGAATAAACAATTAAAATGAGCTGTTATTTCTGCATCCCTAGATAAATACTTAGTTCAAAAATCTGGTCAGAAGTATTTGTAAACAAAAGACAGGAATGCGGTCCGTGCCCACATTTCTAGGTTAGGCCTCTAATTTTGTTCCTCTGCATCTCCTCGTTGGGTCTGAGTCCACCCATCTTCCCATACACTGTGACTGAAGCAACTATTATCGGTCAACTTTTATGGCTGGAGTTTAGCAGAAAGGGGTGGGACGACTCTGTGCACACTAATGGGACTTCTTGCAGACTTCATGTAGTCCAATCATGTTATGTAAGATAATCCACCCCAAAAAAATAAAAATAAGTCAAGTGGGGGGGAGAGCGGTGTGGGAGGGAGGAGGGTGAGGGGGGTGGTAGAGCTAAGCAAACCTTTTGTGTATACAGTTTAAATATTTGCCAACCAAATTATGTTAGCCAAAATATTAATAACTACATGTAGCTACAAGTACAAAATATAGGTAAAAATGGTAGCATTGTTATAGTAAATAAATAATATAGTAACAAAAGTGAAATAAATACAGTTGAGTACCTTCCAAATTTAAATCTGTACTTTAAAGTTGCAATAAGAGGTAGACATGAAGTGGCTTTGTTTCAGTTGGTTTGTGGAATTGTACAACTAATATTTTTATTATTAATTATAAAACATCCAACCTTTCTGCAGTGCTGGGTTCACAAGACATCCTAGTAAATTCATCAACTTTTTAAAAAAACTAATAAGAAACAATAGGTAATGATGGACCTGCTCATATAAGCTTACAATTCACTGTTTAGCAAATAAAAAAATAATAAATAAAAAAATATCCTTAGTCAGAAATTTTCCCAAAGACAGTAATTGTATTGGGTTAATGCATATTATCCTCATATTTGTTAGGAACCAGTCACCTTTAACCCCTTAAGGAGACATGACATGTGTGATATGTCATGATTCCCTTTTATTCCAGAAGTTTGGTCCTTAAGGGGTTAAAGGCATACTGTAGGCATCAAAACATCTGTAGCTTAATGAAGCAGTTTTTGTGTATGAATCATGCCCCTGCAGTCTTACTACTCAAGTCACTGTCATTTAAGAGTCAAATCACTTTTGTTTCTGATTATGCAGTTCTAGCCACACCTCCACATGACACAACCTGCATCAAAAAAGTTTCACTTTCAGTCAGATGTTAACTTTCGTTAGAAGTTTTTATCTCCACTCCTGTAAATTAAACTTTAATCACACACAGGAGGCTCCAGGAGGCTAGTAATAGAACAAGATTAATACTTCTAGTTTAAACAGACTGTGCAATAAAATAACCTAGAATATCTAAGTTCTGTTTCACGAAATGTTTAGAAAGGCTGTGCAAGTCACATGCAGGGAGAAGTGACTAGAGCTGTAAAAACAAAGCAATTTAACTCCTAAGTGGAGTTAAATGGATCTATACACCAAAACTGCTTCATAAGCTAATTTTGTTTTGGTGTATATAGTGTCCCTTTAAAGGTGGATTTGCTTTTTTCCTCTTAAATGACCTTGAGCATGGCTTATACCTCATAGTAATGGAACTAAACATGTTATGCTGTTTAATCATAAGCAGATGCCCTGACATTTTTTTCTTTATACACAATTGGAATTTTAAGTTTACTAATGTAATGTTCCAGTGGATTTTATAATTTTAAATATTATCCTGAACCAAGGCCAGATTAAGAGCCTAGTGGGCCTGGTTCTGACAATTATGATGGGCCTAATTACAGAATCTTATCTACCAAAAATACTATAACAGTCATACCTCTCAAGAGTCATGTATCTGATGGAGTTGGTGGGAAACTCAAAGGATGCAGCGATAGGAAAACATATACTCTGTGCTAATCTCTTTATCTAATTTATGCTTTCATCTTTCAAGTAAATCCATACCCCCTAACAGCAGTGTCCAGTGAAGCAGGAAGTCAATGGGCGGGGTCAAAGGGTGGGCCACTGACGCGAATCACGTGACCAGAACTGCCAAAAGGGGCAAAAATGCCCAAAAAAGGGGCATGTCTGTCCAAATAATTGGAAGGCTAGCCTGGCATTAGTGTCCCTATGTATCACAGTGTCAGTGTCCCCATGTTGCCCAGTCCCCTAGTCTCCCAGTGTCTGTGTCCCTATTTCTCCCAGTGTCCCCATGTCTGTGTGTCCCGTGTCACTAGGATACTAGGGGACACTGAGAGACACGGGGACACTGAGAGACCCGGGGACACTGAGACACTTGGGGACACTGGGAGACATGAGGGCACTGAGACACATGGGGACACTGGGAGACATGGGGGCACTTGTGGATACAGACATGGGGACACTGGGAGACATGGAGACACTGAGACATTTGGGTACACTGGGAGAAATGGGGTCACATACACTAGGGACACAGAGACATGGGGACACAGAAGCTAGGAGACATGGGGACACAGACATTTGTGGAAACTAAGACACTAAGGACACTGAGAGACATGGGAACACATACACTGGGAGACTTGGGGACACTGGGAGACATGTGGACACAGACATTTGGGGACACTCTGAGACATGTGGACACTGAGAGACATGGTGACACAGACACTGGGAGACTAGGGGACACTGGGAGTCATGGGGACACTGTGACACTAGGGACTCTGGCTGGGAGACATAGGGACACTGTGACACTGTGTCCCTAGTTTCTCCATGTTCTAATGTGTCTCCCCATGTCTCACAGTGTCCCCTGGTGTCTCAGTGTCCCCATGTTTCCCAGTGTCCCCAAGTGTCTCAGTGTCCCCACGTCTCTCAGTGTACCCTGGTGTCTCAGTGTCCCAATATGTCCCCTAGTGTTTCAGTGTCCCCATGTCTCCCTGCTGTCTTTTCCCCCATCCTTCACATACCTGAGCTGTAGTCTGTCTCTGCAGGCTGGGAGCTGCTGTCTGGACTCTCTGTGCTCTGTAGCTGCTCCCCCGCAGATCAGTGAGTAGAGAGAGGCAGGGAGATGCTGTAAATTCCTATCCCTGCCTCTCTCCATACAAAGTAACCCCTACTGACCGGTGCTGGTATAGCAGAGTTATCTCTGTTTATTCTGAGAAAAATATTTGCATTTGTATTGCCGGTATTACTGCAATACTGTCATGGCCAGGCAGTCCCAAATACCGTCTGTGCCTTAAAATACCAGTCAAGTGGCAAACCTAAGAGTAGTGTTTTTTTGTTTTTGTTTTTTAATGGGCCTATTCCATGGGCCTGGGCCTGCAGCTCCATCAGCCCCTATGTTAATCCGTCCCTGTCCTGAACTCGTGTGCAACTGTTCCTTGTATTATTTTAAATAATAAATAATTGTTGATACAACAGGATATTTTCACACTTTGAAACGTTAATGTCTCTATTAAGAATTGTGCATCCACATTGAGCTTTGTTAAGTCTGCTGTAAATGATATCTCTGATTTTAACCCTACAACTAAGGAATGTATCTCCATATATAAAAACAGTGGCTATATATAGGTATTCAAGCATTATCTGTAAACATTTGATGGTGTGATTAATAAATGATATATGCTTGTTTATGTATGACACTATGTAATGCAGGGTCGGACATCTCAGATCTCAGAAATGGTAGGAGTTGCATCCTCTCTCCCTTTAGTGATATGTAGAGGAACAGGGGTAACAGAAGTAGTATAATTCTCTCTCCCCGGCTCTTCTTCGAACATATATCTAATGGGTGAGTGACTAAATGAAGCACCTCCCATGTCAGGGTCCTGGAGACACTCATAAACCACTTGGTCTTCAGTATATTGGTTTAGAATGATATCTCCAACACCCCTCGATGGCATGATTTTCCCATAACTCATATTTTATTGCTTTTATGTATGTGTATGTTAAAAACAAGCAATCGAGTGTCCGAGTAAGCGCTATGCAGCACATTACAGATGATCACAGACACAAAGCACACAATTGTGAGACTGAAGCGCCATCTACAGGGAATGTTAAGGAACATTGCTAACATGTTTTTATACAATTTTTCAGTTTATGGAGACAACATGTGATACATATCTTTTATATGGAGAAGAGGATTTTAATGTTGACAAACTAGTCAATTTGACTTGTAAGTATCAATTATTTAAAAAAAACGAATACATTATAAACTTAGCAAATTAACTTGTGATGTATTTGTTGCTGGTGGTCACTTTTTTCAAATTCCCCTTCAAAGACATTGTGGTTTTTATTTTCTTATGATTGCATCACATGCTGACCTGAAGTAACCATTCTGATTTACATATTTATTCTAGACAGATATAGTAGAAGCCATGCTTTTGTTACACAGTGAACTGTGTCAAATGCAAACTAATATAAAGTCCACAAAGGCACCAAATGAGTTTGACTGTCATCCTTTCTGTTCTGTCACCCCCTCCTCCCCCCTCCCGTCGCCTCTAGCCCTTTTAATGTCCGAATAAAGTTTTCCATTAACATTACCTCCAGCCCTCCAGCCCTATATTTCAGGGCTCTCCTTACAGGGATCCAGTGTGTACCGCTTAACTGCCTGTGGAGAAGGTGATCCGATGTCATAGACTTTTGGAATGTCAGTTGGAATCCAGGCATTATTTATCAGTCTTTGTGGATAATACAGAGCCTATTCATATAGGTTTATAGCAATTTCCTGTTTATTTGGTTTTGCAGAGGTTCCCTTAAATGGACACTATAGTCACCAGAACAACTACAGCTTATTGAATTTGCTCTGGTGAGTAGAATCATTACCTTCAGACTTTTTGCTGTAAACACTGTCTTTTCAGAGAAAAGACAGTGTTTACATTACATCCTAGTGATAACTTCACTGGCCACTCCTTAGATGGCTGTTAGAGATCCTTCCTGGGTCATGGCTGCCTAAAATGCATCCACACATTCAGTATCTCCTCCCTCTGCATGCACACACTGAACTTTCCTCATAGAGATTCAGTGATTCAATTCATCTCTATGAGGAGATGCTGATTGGCCAGGGCTGTGTTTGAATCATGCTGGCTCTGCCCCTGATCTGCCTCCTTGTCAGTCTCAGCCAATCCTATGGGGAAGCATTGTGATTGGATCAGGCTACCACTTTTGATGATGTCAGCAGACTGCTTGTTTTTCTGAGTCTAACAGCATGCAGAGTTACAGCTTCAGGCTTGAATACAGTACGATTTTTACTATATTTATGGAGGCATGAGGGGACCAGGGGGGCTAGATGGTAGTGTTAACACTATAGGGTCAGGAATACATGCTTGTGTTCCTGACCCTATAGTGATCCTTTAACTTGCAGCAATTTGGGAAATAGTTGTGAAAATAAAATATATTCCTTAATCTCAAAGAAGACATTTAAAAAATATAAATAATTCTGTGTTTTGTGTTTTATTGACAATAAATCAAACCAAAGTGTAAGAATAACAATGTGTAATATGTTCTGCAATCACTAAATTCCCTTAAATGTTGCAACTTATCCAACTTTGAAGGCTTTTCTGCAACTATCTAAGCAAGTGGTATCATTTTGCTTATATGAAGTAAACCTGCAGGCCTAAAAAGAAATCCTAAGTACCCCAGCCTTGAGAAAGTGATTTCTATAGATTTAAATTCCAAATGATACGTGTAGACACTGATATTTGCCTGGGGTCTAGTGGGGCTGCTGTCATCCTCATGGTTTTCAGCTCCCTCATGCACTGTTTAGTGATGGTGGGGCCCAAAGTGACATCATAACCTAGCTTCCAGCAGCAATGCAGAGCACACGAGGAGACAGTGTTGTAAAAGCACAGAGATTATAGCTTCCTCTTGCCTGGCTGCAGCCTCCCCCCAGACACTGTATTTGGGCAGAGTAGGCACCTGTTAAGCACAGCCTTAGCGCACAGCCGGCCGCCTCTGCCTTAGTGCACAGCCGGCCACCTCCTGGGGGACCCTAAGGTGGCCAGCCGACCAGCTCTTGACCAGCTTTAGAGGCATGTACCCCCTGGGATAAGCATGACAAACATGGCATTAGACAACAACTGCTTCATTGTTTAACAAATTACTTAAGCTATGAAAGTTAGTGAAAAAACAATATGGACCCTCCATGTAAGTTTTTTATGCATGTTTTGTTATCAATAAATTGAATGAATTCAGTTAAATTAATCTTTTGCCTTTTCTTATTTAGATGCTGTGGTTTGTGTAAAATAAATAAATAAATAAATAAATAACAAAATACAATTATATTTTTGCAGATATTTTTCAAAAATTGGCTGCTGTCAAAGACCAGAGGGAATGGGTAATAGCAAGTGGAGCACACACAGTAAGTGGACATTATCCATTTACACCAACTAAAATTTTATTGATGATTTATTAGGTGCAGAATAGCAAAATAATGAATATGATATTGTAGCGCTATCTGTTTGTACGTTGTACAGTTTTCTTCTGAAATACCTTTCTGTATTCTGTGTTATTGAGTTTGACTTCAAGAGGTCAGCTTTTTCATAATTTATTTTAATGCAGACTTTTTTAAGTATTAATAGATAGTGTAACAAATATTTGTGGTCAGGGATAAAGGCAGAAGGTATTCAATAAGGTTTGAGCTATACCAGCAAGCCAGGAAGTCTTGTCCGCATGGTGGTCAGACTCCGCCCCAAGATTTGCATATTTTATGTTTTAAAAAATGTCACATGCCTCCCACCAATTCTGTTTTTGTCAGGACAGCCCCAATTTTCAGGTCCTGTCCCGCATCCTGATTTTGTTTCCTGTTGTCACACTTTGGAGACACCAGGGAAGTGTCCCAAAAAAAGCAGTTACGCCAACACTCAGGGCACTAGGATTCTGCAGACAGCACTGAAACAGAGCACTGAGCCAGCCTGGGTGTACATTCACACTAGACTGACTTGCCAGTAAGTCAGGCGCATACACCCTCTTTCCTGGCAGGACCGACTGCTTTGGGCAGAGCCAGTGATGCAATTATGTCCCTGGTTCTTTACATTCTTCTAACCGGTATCCCTGGGGTATGTTTATCTATTTTCATTATTTGTGTATTATGTAAAGAAAAAAAAAATATATATATATATATATATATATATATATATATATATTGTGGATTGGATTAGCCGTATTAGTCCAGTAGGCAAGATGCCAAAATAGCAGAGTATTGCAATATGCAATGATACCTTTTTTATTGGACTAACATAAGGGAGAGGAAAACTCTCGAAAGCTTGTCCAATAAAAAAGGTATCATTGCATTGTATGATTGTATCATTGAATACTGCAATACTCTGGTATTTTAGCATCTTATTTACATATATGTATTTGAGTACGGGAACATCTGCCGAGTCACACAATAAATATTTACTTATACCAGTAGAATCAAGTCTGTTGTGGTGTGCCAAAACCGAGCAATGGTGTAGGCCTAAAAAAGAGGACCCACCTATTGAATGGGAATAAAAAAGGGAGAGGTGGGTAGGTTTCCAAATCGTCGTCAGAATGTCAGGAGGAAGCTGGGAGGAAGGGATTAGATATTGGCAGGCAACCACTCCCACAATTCCAGGCATTCTGCCTTATATTTGTGTATGAGATCACCTATAAAGTCATATGATAAATAAGTAATGCTGCAGTATATAGATACAGTTTACTTTTCAGTTTCGTATTCATGCTTTTATTTTCATCTGTACCAATTGATTACCACATTTTTTGTAAAAAAAGAGGCACTGTTTTAAATACGAATATTGATCAATATATACCTTAAATATGTTACTATTATAAATGTGTAGAAATGTTCATTTAAACTAGATTTCTTAGTTATTGTGTTAATTATTATACTTAATATATGGCATACATTGTGCATAATATATTGCATTTAGGTAAACAGTCAAACACACTTAAAATGCTGCCACTGAAATGACATATTATGCAGGGCAACTGCGTATAGGAGTAATGTTTCTTTGTTCATGAGAATATTTGTAATTCATAGATAAACACTAGGTTAGGATAAGTTACATTTTTGGTAGATTAGTTTTAGAGGTGGTTTAGAGGTGCCACAAGTGTCACTAGTGGGGCTCAGGACTCCCGACATTATTACACCCCCCTCCCCCACAGTACAACAGTTTCTGGTCATCATTGTATGAATGCTATAATGTAACTTTTATATTTTTAATGCAACATAATTCTTACGTTGTTCTTAATGACAGTAGGTTTTTAAAATCAACTTTTAAATGGGGACATTTTTAAAATGAATCATAAAATAATACTTTATGCCATTGTGTTTGATGCAATTTTAAATTTCACTTTTATTTTGTTTACAATTAACAACATAAATAACATGTACATTCATAATTATGACACCAAGCTTGGCTTCTAACTCAAACACTTTTAAAAAGATAGAAAATGTGAATGCTCTGTTGAAACATTTATACTGAATTAAAGGTTTCGAAACAATTACAATGATACATGAGCATGCTATATTATATATATTATATATATATATATAAAATGCTATATTTAGCGCTCATTGTTATAGCGTGGCATAGCCTAATACGACAGAAAACATAATTTTGTCTAGTAAAATGTATTCATATTAAACTAATTATTACTTTACTTTTCTGACTGATTTTAAATAGTAAAAGATGTTCACATAAAACATATCATTTCTTTTCTTTTCAGACTCTGGTAAAGTTATTAGCTGCTAGAAACAGCAATGTACTGCTGGGAGCTGTACTCGCTCTTACAAGTCTAGCAGAAAGGTGAGTTAACAATAACATAACAGATAACAAGGAATATGCGATTAGAATTGTTTTTGGTTTCTTTGTAATGTTGTAATGTTTAATCAGTGATCATATTTTTTATTATGGAAGAATGACAAAAGAAGACCAAGGAGCAAAATATTACCTCGAATACTTCACCCTCTTGCATTATTTTGTCCACAACCACTTTGCTGGTCTAGTCCTTCTCAGACCTTCTCTCATCCCTTTGTCGCTTTCATATCACTGCTCAGCTTTCCTCATTACCCTTTCAGTGCGATTCTTCTCCATCCCATCTCTTATTGAACCCCATTGTCTCTTCCAGACCCTCATTTTCTTTTAGCAAACCCTATGCTTTGTGTTCTTGTCAGTTCCTCCTGAACCTCTCATTCCTCCTCTCGACCTTTAGGAACCTGCTTGTCCTTTCAGTCCTATCTTTTTATTTCCCTTCCATCCTCTAAACAAATCCCATTCTCCTTTAATGTTATCAGTAACACATGTCAACAATCAACACTTTGGCCACAATTTGGGCCTTTCACCAATGCTTATGATATAGAGCTGGTCACCAAGCATCTGAATTCACTGATTAGAAGACCTGTGAGTGCACTCCTTTATTTTGTATTTATCTAGGATATGAATTGCACCCAGCCAAATTATTTGAAGTTTAAGGTATAATATATATTTATGCATCATGATATGGCATAGTAAGATAATTCAGTTCAAAATGATAAGTTTGGGATTAGAACATGAAAGTGAGAAAAGGCATATGAGTATAAATTGAAATATTTAAAGGTAAAATGGTCACTTTCAATAGAATTTACACCACTGAATAACATTTTAAAATGCCAGTGCAATTATTGTGGAAAAATAGAAACATTATGCAATTTCTCATATTCTTTGTACGGTTTCTCTATGCTAGGGGTGCCCAAAAGGTAGACCGCCAGATGTTTTAAAACTATAGTTTCCATTATGATTAGTTATTCTAACTACATTCATGCAATGCATCAAGGGAGTTGTATTTTTGCAACATCTGGGGATCTACCTTTTGGGCACCCCTGCTTTATGTCGACTGCCAGGTGCAAAGGACAGAGCGTGTAAAAATAATTTAAAAGGAAGCAAAGATGGAGGCACCCAGTTGTAGGATAAAGAGGTGTGCAGTCCTACATTTAATTTCATTTTTTCACATCTTACAAATACATATTTGGCAAATATACAGATAAGTAAAAATAATGTTAAGAATTCTGAGAAGTGACAGTGTGAAGACACTGTTAAAGCAAGAAAAAATAAAAAAAAATTAAAAAAATGCATGTGGTATGACAAAAGTGCAGTGGTATGCCGACAGCAGGTGTTGGCTGACTACATCCAGGGCTGGACTGGGGATACAAAGCAGCCCTGGAAAAATGTATGCCAGCCCCATATATTTTTTTTTTCTAATTCAAAATATTGTTCCTTTCATGGTAAATAATTTAATTATACAGTAAGCAAGTGCTGCTACTCCCTTGTCTGTGTCCCTCCAAGTCAATGGTGCTACCATCCGCTCTACCTCTAAGGCTTGCTGCCAAGGTGTTCTCTTTGACTCCGACCTCTCCTTCACCCCTCATGTCCAATCAATTGCCAAAGGTGCTTGTCCATGCTGCTGTCCTCTCTCGCCTTGACGACTGTAATCCGCTTCTCAGTGGTCTTACGTGTTCCCAACTTGCTCTGTTACAGTCTTTAATGAATGCGGCGGCGAGGCCCGCACCTCCCATGCCTCCCCCCTTTGTCAGTCTCTACATTGACTTCCCGTAAGATATAGCACTCAATTTAAGATCCTGATACTTGCTTGCAAATCTCTACACAATGCTGCTTCGACCTTCTTATCCCCAGTAATAAACAAATGTCCCATCTAGGCCCCTACGCTCTGCCGAAGACCTAAGTCTAACCTCTTCTAACTTCTCTAAGGCTGCACTGTTCTTATGGAACGCCCTTCCCCACTCTGTTAGACTTTCACCCAATCTCCACTCCTTCAAAAAATCTTTGAAAACTTACTTTTTTAAGAAAGCATATCAATTAAACTGTGAACAGCTTTCCCTCCCCGCACCATGATTCCTCTCCTGAAACTGTCATCAAAACAAAACACTAAGCCCTCAATAAATACTATTCTAGCAAACTACTCTTCTACCCTATCCTTACCTTTTGTGTCACTATACCCTACTCCCTCTAAGTTCATTGAGCAGGGCCCTCAATCCCTCTGTTCCTGTGTGTCCAACTCGTTTGGTTACAAATACGTGTCTGTTAGTCCACCCATTGTACAGCGCTATGGAACTTGTTGGCGCTTTATAAATAATTATAATAATAATAATATAGCCATTAACAACTGCAATAAAAAAAAACAAAAAATGAGTCAAATCTTTTCACAATCTCCTTTCATTGATAAACAAAAAAATTATGTTATGTAATTAAATTATCCCCCATGGAGAAATAATTTTTACACAAAAGCTACTTTATTTTAAAAAAGTCAAGCAACTAAAGTTCAGTGCATTCCATGCAATAAATCACAGATATTGTAAACATTGAGATCTATCGATCTGTTTGTATTTATGTTGTCTTTTGGCCTTTGCATGCTGCTGCGTCTTGCACAATGTGGACTAAGAAGGATAGTGCATTCTTCATAGATGTTTATTATGTTTACAGTACAGAATGTCGGGAGAAGATCAGTGAGCTCAGTATTGTTGAAAGCCTAATGATGATACTGCACGAATATGATCTACTATCCAAAAGGTATGTTTTTCAGAGAAATGCTCAAGAAATGTTAGATTTAAAAGGTTAACCCTTTTAAATTTAGTCACAAATAGCTGTTAAAAAAGGTAATGGATAATTCATAATGTCAAAAAATTAAATGTTAAAATATGGAATAAAATGTCCTACATGCAGTAAAAGGTAGTAATAAAATGATCCTCTTTGAGCGGCATTTTGTTGACCATTTCTCTGGGCATCTAAAATGCAACTGAATCCATGATATTTGCTCTACTTTGGTTACCTACAAGCCTATGGCCTGCTAATCTAAGCAACATACAGATCAAACTGGCAGTTGTGTTGTCCCATAGAGACTCAGTCGGTGTGATCCATACCTGGAAGTAGGACTGCTCAGGAGACTGTCTAATAGTGCCGGCAGGACTAGAGATGGTGGATTTGATACCAGTGTGCTCCCGTATCTTGTCATAGAGGAGCAGTGACCTTCTTTTCTATTTCTATTTTTATGTATTTACACTATATACCAAGACTCAGGGTGTTATAACAGGAGTCTCCAAATATGAGTAATTATATACTGAAGACCGTTGTGCGCTCTTTGAAATAGATTTGACTGCTTTATATTTTATACTGTTTTATATTTTTAAGGAACACGTGCAATAAATGTATTTACATTAATTCTGTGTCACAATTGGTCTATTATGGTGGCTCTTTGTGCAAGGTTCAATACCTTTTTCTTTATTTACATGTGAGCATATTTGGTTACATATCTGGTGACAAAATATTAAATCATGGAGAGAACTCACGGGACTGTTTTTTTTTTAAAAAAATGACAGATTATTACCATTCAGTAGGTTGCTCTTCTTTAAGTAAGTTGTGTTTTCACTTATCTATTTTTTTCCATAAAACTCAAACATTCTATTTAAGTTTGGAAGTGAACAGTTTTCAATTAAACCATACAGTATATAGAAAACAGGAACAGAAGCTGCAGGGGTCAAGGAAGATTTATGTATGCATTACAAAAATGAATTAGATTGATAACATCTATTTTTCCTACATCTAGACTTGCAGCAGAACTGCTACGACTTCTTTGTTCTGAGTCAGACGTAAAAAAGCAAGTGAAGATCTATGATGGTGTCCCTACTCTACTCAGTTTGCTGCACTCTGATCATCTAAAGTTGCTGCGGAGTGTTGTCTGGATATTGGTTCAAATTTGTGAGGATCCTGAAATAAGTTTTGAAATCCGAACATGGGGAGGAATCAAACAGCTACTCCATATATTGAAAGGGTATGTTCTGAAATGTTAATGTTTCAGAGATGTTTATCCATGTCTACATCATGCTTGCTTGTTTCAAATCATTGTTTCCAATTCAGAGTCATCCATATCTTTCTGCCCACTTCGATCACTTTTTGTGTGCAAATTTAGCCCCTGGTCTGTGTGTGCACTGCTATTCAAAAGATGCCAGGAAGATTGGGGTAGATCACAGGGCCACCTTTAATGTAGATTGGACCATGGGAAACCATTTGCTTGAACCCTTGCTTGAACAGAAACACATAGACATACAAATACACACACAAAAACACACATACATACAGGGCCGGTGCAATGATTTTTGGGCGAAGATGATTTTGGTGCCCCCCTCCAAAAGCATCTTTACCTCTGTGCCTCTTAACCCGCCTTTTGTTTCTTATCCCCTTTTTTAAATGTCTTGCCCCCTTTAGTATATTGGATCCCCTATTTTTCCACCCTTGTGTCTTACACCTCCCTTGTGTATCTCTTACAACCCCCCTTTGTGTGTCTCCTTCTCTCCCAGTCCCTTTGTTTTTTACTCCTACCAGCTCCATTGTGTGTTTCTCTTTCACCACCAGCCTGTCTATCTCCCCCAGACCCTCTGTGTCTCTTTTTCCTATTCCCCAGCCCCACTGTGTCTCTTTCACCCCCAGCCCCTTTGAATTTCCACCCACAGGCCCTTCTGTGTATAACTTTCATCCCCAGCCCCTCTGTGAACTTTCTCACCAACAGGCCCATCTGTTTGTCTTTCTCCTCAATCAGGCCCCTCTCTGTGCCACCCTCCCCTCCATGTCCCTTAGTGTTCCTGTCTCCTTACCTCCATGTCCCTTAGTGTTCCTGTCTTCTTACTTCCATGTCCATTAGTGTTCCTCTCCCCTCCCTTCCATGTCCCTTAGTGTTCCTCTCTCCTTCCTTCCCTGTCCCTTAGTGTTGCTCTCCCTCTTACCTGTCTCTTAGTGCCCCCCAATTTCCCTTAATGTTCCTCCCACTCCCTTCTTAGTGTTCCTCTCCTTTCGCTTTTAGTGGTCCCCCTACCCCAGTGTTTCTTTTCCTCACCCCCAGTACCTTAGTGCCCCCCTTAAAGTTCCCCTCTCCCCCCTAGTGTTCCTCTCTCCTCCCTCTTTTTAGTGTTTTCCCCCATCCTCCCCTCTCCCATAGTGTTCTTTCCCACCTGCTCCCCTGTGCCATAGAGTTCTCACCCCTCCCCTGTCCCATAGTGTTCTTTTCTCCCCCCTCCCTTGTCCCATAGTGTTCTTTTCTCCCCCTCCCCTGTCCCATAGTGTTCTTTCCCCTTCTTTCCCATCTCATAGTGTTCCCCCCCGTAGTGTTCTTTCCCCCCTCCCCTGTCCCATAGTGTTCTTTCCTCCCTCCCTCCTCTGTCCCATAGTGTTCCTCTCCCCTCCCCCTTACCTGTCTCTTAGTGCCCCCCCATTACCCTTAATGTTTCTCCCACCCCCTCTTTGTGTTCCTCTCCCTTCTCTTTTAGTGGTCCCCCTACCCCAGTGATCCTTTTCCCTTCCCACCCCTGTCCCTTAGTGCACCCCCACTTAATGTTCCTCTCTCTCCCCCTCTAGTGTTCCTCCCCACTCCCTCTTTTTAAGTGTTCTTCCTCCCCTCCTCCCCTGTCCCATAGTGTTCTTCCTCCCTCCTCCCCTGTCCCATGGTGTTCTCCTCCCCATCCCATAGTGTTCTTTTCTCCCCCCTCCCCTGTCCCATAGTGGTCTTTTCCCCCCTCCCCATCCCATAGTGTTCTTTCCCCTCCTCCCCGTCCCATAGTGTTCTTCCCACCTTCCCTGTTCGATAGTGTTCTTTCCTCCCCCTCACCCGTCCCATGGTGTTCTTCCCCCCCTATAGTGTTCTTCCCCTCTCCTCTGACCCATAGTGTTCTTTCCCCCTCTCCCCTGTCCCATAGTGTTCTACCCCCATCCCCTGTCCCATAGTGTTCTTTCCTCCCCTTCCCCTGTCCCATAGTGTTCTTTCCTCCCCCCCTTCCCTGTCCTATAGTGCTCTTTCCTCCCCCTCCTCGTCCCATAGTGTGCTTTCCTCCCCCTCCCAGTCCCATAGTATTCTTTTTTCCCCTCCTCCCATGTCCCATAGTGTTCTTCCTTCCCACCATCCCCCGTCCCATAGTGTTTTTTCCTCCACCCCCTGTCCCATAGTGTTTTTTCCCCCCATCCACAGGTGTGTCTCCTACCTTTCTGGTAGCATGGCCAGGGGGAGCAGACCGCGATACAGGAGCTTCAGTTTCCTATACCCGACCAGACTGACAGGAAGTGCTCTCTCATTGAGCACTTCCTCTCAGTCTGGCCGGGTACAGGAAACAGAAGTTCCTGTACTGCGGTGCGCACTGCTCCGCTAGGCCACGCCACACTGAGTGACAGGTAGGAGGGAGCACTGTGCACCCACCTCCTGTCGGTCACTCCAATCTATCTCCCCCTAGGCCAGTGCGCCCTAACGTGGCCACTTGTGCCACCATATGGACGCGCAGGCCCTGCATATACATACAGACAGATACACACAGACACACAGACACATGAATATACACATACAGACAGAAATACACACAGAAACACCGAGCCCCTTTGCAATCGAGTGGCCCTAAGAGCATGGGCCCTCTCATCGCACACGTACCACGGCGGCCGACAGGCTCAAGGAACAGCTGCTTTGGGCCCCGTATGAATGACTGTGCCTGGGGCAGCTGCCCTTTTGCCCCGCGTTAAAGACAGCCCTGGTAGATCAGCATATCATTAAGCATGTGGTTCAATCAAGTCCCTATATCAGTGATGTCTATGAAAAATATTTGTGTAGTCCCAAGAGCATCACATGAAGTATAGGCCACACGTATTTACTGAAATCCAAAAACATGTGTCAAGGTTAAAGGAACAATATAACATTAAAAATAAATATATTTTTTTGAAAGTTAGTGTGTTAATACTGCCTCACTCTACCCTTCTCTGATGAAGACATAAGTAATGATGACTTTCGTCCAGTCTAGTCATTTTATCTATAAGAAGCATATAGAGTGTTGAGTGTTGTGAAGTGAAATTAAATAGTACATAAGACCACAGCATCATAGTGCCATTTCTAGTGGCGGGTGTTGTTACTCTGCTGGCTAAGAATTCCGCAGCATTTGTAGGCAGGTACCCCTGAGATCCTTAGCCATCAGTCCATCATAACCTCCTAAACACTAACTAACTAACATTTCCTTAAGCTCACCCGCTACATTATACCAGGTTAGTGTTTTTCTAAAGGGCACATTTGTTGTGATGTAATGATGATATAATGCTACTGCTCTTCTATGAACATCCCAGTGTCACCAAACAACATTGACATTTAAAATTCGCTGTGTTAGGGTGGTGGTTACTATATCCAAGAACCAAGCAAACTAGCACAAAATTCATTGACGGCATTATTTAATAAAGCTCTAGCTCAAATACCTATTATGGTTGCAAGTGACACATATAATCTGCATGCATAATAATACATTCTTGTGATGGGTATGTATGTAAAAACAGTGGCTGCTGTAAGACGAGATATCATTTACATAAAACATCCAACATGTTTTAACAGAATATCTTACATTTTTACTTCATCAAACATTAGTGATTTCCAGATTGAGAGTTGCATTGGTTCCAGGTCCCTAATATGCTGTAATTAAATTTGTTTTTCCCTTTTTTCTTAAGGGAGCAGTACCTTGTGTCTGACCGTTCCTCCATTGGTAGCTTGTCCAGTGCGAATGCAGCTGGCCGCCTCCGCCACCATTACTTATCAGAAGATCTGAGTCCAAGGGAAATACAAGAGAATACACTTTCACTTCAAGCAGGTAACACTAAATGACACGGTGTACCATTTACATTCTAACTGGTGGAAGTTTCTTTAAATAGGCTGGCCAAGTGTCCTGAAACTGGTTCCCAGGTTGGGCAGCCATGGTTGGTTTGTTTGTACTGCTAATTGCAATGTATTGTCACGCCATAAGGAAGGGCAGTGCATTTGGCTGTATTCAAATAATCTTTACTTGAAATTCCCAATAAAATGTTGGAAAATTATACAAAAATTCAACATATCAGCAGTAACAAATTACAGTTGCAAGAAAAAGTATGTGTACCCTTTGGAATGATATGGATTTCTGCACAAATTGGTCATAAAATGTGATCTGATCATCATCTAAGTCACAACAATAGACAATCACAGTCTGCTTAAACTAATAACACACAAAGAATGAAATGTTGCCATGTTTTTATTGAACACACCATGTAAACATTCACAGTGCAGGTGGAAAAAGTATGTGAACCCCTAGACTAATGAGATCTCCAAGAGCTAATTGGAGTGAGATGTCAGCCAACTTGAGTCCAATCAATGAGATGAGATTGGAGGTGTTGGTTACAGCTGCCCTATAAAAAACACACACCAGTTCTGGGTTTGCTTTTCACAAGAAGCATTGCCTGATGTGAATGATGCCTCGCACAAAAGAGCTCTCAGAAGACCTACGATTAAGAATTTTTGACTTGCATAAAGCTGGAAAGGGTTATAAAAGTATCTCCAAAAGCCTTGCTATTCATCAGTCCACGATAAGACAAATTGTCTATAAATGGAGAAAGTTCAGCACTGCTGCTACTCTCCCTAGGAGTGGCCGTCCTGTAAAGATGACTGCAAGAGCACAGCGCAGACTGCTCAATGAGGTGAAGAAGAATCCTAGAGTGTCAGCTAAAGACTTACAGAAGTCACTGGCAAATGCTAACATCCCTGTTAGCGAATCTACAATACGTAAAACACTAAACAAGAATGGATTTCATGGGAGGATACCACAGAGGAAGCCACTGCTGTCCAAACAAAACATTGCTGCATGTTTACAGTTTGCACAAGAGCACCTGGATGTTCCACAGCAGTACTGGCAAAATATTCTGTGGACAGATGAAACCAAAGTTGAGTTGTTTGGAAGAAACACACAACACTATGTGTGGCGAAAAAAAGGCACAGCACACCAACATCAAAACCTCATCCTAACTGTGAAGTATGGTGGTGGGGGCATCATGGTTTGGGGCTGCTTTGCTGCGTCAGGGCTTGGACGGATTGCTATCAATGAAGGAAAAATGAATTCCCAAGTTTATCAAGACATTTTGCAGGAGAACTTAAGGCCATCTCTCTACCAGCTGAAGCTCAACAGAAGATGGGTGTTGCAACAGGACAATGACCCAAAGCATAGAAGTAAATCAACAACAGAGTGGCTTAATGGCTTAAACAGAAGAAAATGCGCCTTCTGAAGTGGCCCAGTCAGAGTCCTGACCTCAACCCGATTGAGATGCTGTGGCATTAACCTCAAGAAAGCGATTCACACCAGACATCCCAAGAATATTGCTGAACTGAAACAGTTCTGTAAAGAGGAATGGTCAAGAATTACTCCTGACCGTTGTGCACGTCTGATCTGCAACTACAGGAAATGTTTGGTTGAAGTTATTGCTGCCAAAGGAGGTTCAACCAGTTATTAAATCCAAGGGTTCACATACTTTTTCCACCGGCACTGTGAATGTTTACATGGTGTGTTCAATAAAAACATGGCAACATTTCATTCTTTGTGTGTTATTAGTTTAAGCAGACTGTGATTGTCTATTGTTGTGATTTGATGATCAGATCACATTTTATGACCAATTTGTGCAGAAATTCATATAATTCCAAAGGATTCACATACTTTTTCTTGCAACTGTATAAAAATACTTACTGAACACAGATGAAAAGAAACATACCATATGTTTAGTAGAACTTGACTATAGATGCTTTTCAAACAGCTTATATACTGCTATTTCTCAATGACAGTCTACTTACCATCCAATGAGTGAAAATGTTTGTTCTAAAAATGTAAGCTAAGAAAAATGCACGTTATGTACAAAGTAAATAATGAGATTATTTTGGTTTCAAACTATGTCCTGCTCATTTTCCAAAACATTATATGATGGAAATCTTTCCATAGTATTTTTAATATCAAGTAAGTTTAGTACAAGAGTGTGATGTAGTATCTTAGGGATATTTTAGGTATAAACTAATTAGAATCTGTAGATATGTAAATAAACAAAATATTCTGTGATGTACAGTATTTATTGCTCACAATTTATTGCTTTTCATTTTGCTTTTGTATACATTGAAACTCAATATTGGTGACATGTTATCCAAGCTATATACATGACAATGTTAAATTATGAAAACTATAATAGTTTACAATACAATTTCCAGAAATTCTTCCCCAAACCCAAACAACCATTGTAGAAATTTAATTTGGGATTTCAGTATAGGAATAATATATGACTGCTTTAGCTACTCGTAAAGTTTTCACTTTTTAATAGATCTAGCAAAAATTAAGATATATATTTTCATTGACAATTTTCATATGCAGTCTGAAGTCATTAATAAACAAAAATATACCTTGCAAAGTGTTATATTAAAGTGTTTATTTTCTTTTCAGCCTGCTGCGCAGCTCTTACTGAACTTGTACTAAATGACACAACTGCTTACCATGTAGTACAGGTATATTAAACATTCACATACAATCATATTTCCATTCAGTAAAATCAATTACAATTAAATGCCCTTTTAGTAGAATGTATGAGGTTTTCAGAGCAGTACATAAATTTGATACCACAATGTACTTGTCAAAATATATAAAGACCAACTGAATTAAAATCTATGCAAATTATGAATATAAAGATATTAATTGGGTGATATTTAAAATCTATGCCCCTGCCCTGGTATTGGCAGGGGCCTTAATTTTTTTATAAAATAGGGAGTGAGGACCCTGGTGGGAACCCTATTTAACGATAAAATAGGGGGTGGACATAACATTGTCCACCCGCCTACCACCACAATAATAATAATGCTCAGTCACTACTTTTAAATCTTTAGTAGATATGCATCCACCTACCTCTATTATTGTAATATGGGGATCTTGTTGACCACCATGATATTTATTTATTTAATTTTATCATTATTATTGTACTTTTTTTTTTTTTACTTTTTACATGTGGCGGCAGGCAAGGAAGCGCTGGCCAGCAGCCAGATAATTAACCGTCGCACTGCTGAGGGTTTTTAACTATTTGCCTGCTGGCTGCGCAAATGATCAATTCACTTGCAAAAATCAAGTGAATGATAATTTGCAAACATACATCCTGCTGGATGCCTTCTGTTTATCATCGATTGTCCACTATGTGATTGGCGGTAGATTTGTTTCTATGCAAAAATGACTAACTGACTGCATTTGGCTTTAGTAAATCTGAGAAATGCCAATGCGGAAGGAATTTGGCCGATTTTACTGGATTTTGTCCATTCTAATAAAATCTGATGTTTAGTGAATAACTCTTTTGCTTATTGCAAGTGAACTGATTTGAAGAAAATAGTTCTATACGCATTATAAGCACTACATTAAGCTGTATTGGTTCTGGTGTCTATGATGTCCATTTAAACTGACCTTATTTCATAAGCAGGATACACAATAACCTGACTGTATTTTTGTGTTAGTGGGAAATTTTGTCATAAAATTTAAACATTTATTTTTCATTTTGTTGTGCAGGAAAATGGCGTTTACATTATCGGAAAGTTGATTTTACCAAGTAAACAAAATGATTGCATTAGAAGTAAAGCCTCTTCTCTACAGGTAGCGGTTTCTATTCAACTGCGTAGATTCAAGGATGTTTTTTTTCCCATAATTTTAAAAAAGCAAAAAATCTTTAAATTGCACAGCTGGTTAACATACTGATTAATACTGGAAATCTGGAAATGTATTTATGCTTCAAGGTCTGATTGCAGCACTTACCCAGTCATTCCTTTTATTTTATTTTTGCTGTGTTTTACAAGTTTATACGGACTGTTTGTTCTGTAATGTTAATTAAATTGTTGATTAAATTGTAAATTCTGAAAACAACTCTCAAATTCAAAATACAAGAATAATGGCATTAATTTAACTACTACATTGCAGTGTCCCATATTTGACAATAATTGATGTGAGTGCACTTAGTGGAGTAATATTAGTAGAAAATGTAAAGAGAATCATGGCCGCCAGATTCGGTTGTCAAACTGTCAACACATTTTGCGGCTTCACTTTTAATTTGTATGCGCTTTATAAATACCACTACTACTAATAATAATAAATTAGAAGGATGCTCACGGAGGCAATAAGAATCCTCTGATTGATATATTCCCAGGCTGAAGTTCTGTGTTGGGGAAAAGAGAGGAGGGCTTGCAAAGGTCTGTAGTTATTGCAAGTTGTTCTTTCACATACCCCAGAGAAAACATACAGAAAAAAATTCTCAATATATCTACTAAATAGTTGAAGAAATAAAAATGAAGGTTCCTTTAATAAGTTATTAACAATTCTGTATCTGTTTAATTTTACAGTGTTATGCTTTCAGAGCATTACGATTTATTTTTAGCATGGAACGGAACAGAGATGTTTTCAAAAGGTAAAGTTACACTTTGTAGTCGATTATTCAAAATAGTACATTAAAGAATAAATTTTTGTTGTCTTACTCGCTGTGTCACTGAAACATTTCTCCTTACTTTTGCAATTCACTTTTGAATGTTCCCAATTCTTAGTGAGCAAATCTTAAAGTAATTTGTAAAGTAGTTTATGTATATATGTTACATCATGGAGTTTAGTTCTAGAGTGTTAAAAATGGGGCATTGCCAAAATGCTATTCATTAACCGTCATAACACGTCTGTGAAATAGTAAATGTTTCTGACGGAAGCCAAATCACCCCATAGCAAACCACAACAATTGTAAAACTACATTAATTACTAACGGGTGCTGCCGTTTCAAAAAAGTTGTGGGTGTAAAAAAGCCAGATTTTTGGCATAACTGCTACATCTAAATGCAAAATTTTAGAAAATTAAATCTGAATTGCCAAACTGAAGATTAAATAGCCAAGTTATGGAAGAGATCAGTTTGAGATTTTTTTCAGAGCTATTCTTGACTAAATTTTGCAATTCAGAAGGAATTTGCAGAAATTCTGAGTGTAGTGAATAAACCTACAAGTGACACTGGGTGTATCATCTCATTGGGTGGGCTTCTCTATAGAAATGAAACCTTTCCCTCGATGTAGTAGATTGAAGGATAATTTATTTTAGGTATTTTGGAGGATGGCTCTTAGCTATTAGGACCAAAGAACACCCGTAGATTTTGTGCTAAACCAATAAGGGTCAGATGATGTGCAGTCCTCCAATGATAATCTAATAAAGGCCAGGGGATTCCCAATTTCCTGGTCCTAAAATTTAAAGAAATCTCCCACCCTCCATGACTAGTTGGCCCCAGGCCCCAATTCTCATGTAAATATAAAAGTCCAGATTATTTGGCTATTCTATTTTAACCATGTATAAGCTTTTAATATTTTAGTTAAATTAACACTCTGGGCACCATAAAAACCTAATCAGAATTAAGTTTTTACTGGAGTTAAACTGTTAACAAATGGCCACACAACTTCTATTGCAGTTTGATGCTTCAAATGGGAAGCTTTAGGCAGGGGTACTTAGAGCGTCAGCCTATTCACAAAACAGAGAGAGAAAAATACATACTTTTCAATCTGATTAATTTGTTATGGAGTGTCCCTTTAATTTAACAGATCCAAATATGCATTATGTAGAATTATCCTTAGATTTATCTATAGAAGACCAGAGTGTTTTTTTGCTAGTGTTTACTTTAGATCAAAACTCAAACTATTATCTCCTATTATCTCCTAAGTCCCAGCAAGGTAGTTTGACCTGATGACTATCTTGATACCTTGGCATCATTATTATTAGCAGTCATGGCAAGCCTAGTTTCTTCAGAATAGAAAAACGAAGAAAAACATGCACTAAAGCTGAAATGGTGTATGTCTATACGTAGGATATTCATGGTGTCAAATTGATTTGTCAGGATCAATGGTATTCTTATCAGTACAGGTGTTTTTGGTACATGTAAAAACAAACAAAACACAGATCACAAGTTAAAGTTATACTGTTAAAATACAGGATACACACCTTAAAATTTACTAAAACTTTTATTTATTTTTTTCTTACTTCTTATGACTCCCACATTTTAAAAATATGTTTTTGTTATACAGAACATTTTAATAAATTCCTTTATTTGATTTTTTTTTTTTTTTTTTTTTTATTTAAGGTTTTTTCCTCCAGACCTTTTTGAGATGTTTATTGATATTGGACATTACATCCGAGATATCAACTGTTATGAAGAACTAGTGTCTAAATTAAATGCACTGCCTGTAAGTAGCCTACTTGATATGCTGCATGTTGTGCCGTAAGAAAATAGACAATTTTAATTTAATTCATACTATACTATACTATACTATACTATCTAAAATACAACACAAATTTATATATTGGCTGTAAAATTTAAAAAAATGGCTGCTTAACTCATGGGGTGTGTTTAAATTATGGGTTTTAAAATCCTTGATATTTGCAATCATGCTGTGTTAACATAAAAAAAAATAACAAAACAGAAATATTATGATTTTTAGTAAAAGGTGGATGCCTTCTATTAATTTGCTCATTTCTTATCTCTGAATGTTGGAACTTTTTTAGACAAGTCAGTATCTTTGTAAAACCACTATCCAGCTCATGTACAGTGGTGTATCCTGGTTTTGTGCTGCCCTAGGCAGGACAAAACTCAGCATTCCCCCTCCCCCCCGCACCACCCCCACCCAACCCTTCCCCCCACCCCGCCTTCTAAATACACACACACATACAAACACACATTCACTGACAGATACGCATACACTAGCTAACAGAAACACACACTCGCTAACAGAAGCACACACTCGCTAACAGAAACACACACACACTAACAGACACACTCGCTAACAGACAAACACACACTCACTAATAGACACACACTAACAGACACACACTCACTCACTAGCAGACACACACACTCACTGACACACACACTCACAGGCAAACACACTCACACTAACAGACACACACACACACACACACACACAGTCTGACACACACGTACACACTAACAGACACACACTCACTCACTCACTAGCAGACACACACACAAACACACACACACACTCACTAACAGACACACACACTCACAGGCAAACACACACTCACTAACCACACACAGACACACACTAGCAGACACACACACACTCACTGACACACACTCACAGGCAACACACACACACACACACACACACACACACACACACACACACACACACACACACACACACACACACACACACACACACACAGGCAGACACACACACTAACAGACACACACTGTCAGACACACACACACACACTAACAGACACACACTCACTCACTAGCAGACACACACTAGCAGACACACACACACTCACTAACAGACACACACACTCACAGGCAAACACCCTCACACTAACAGACACACACACACAGAGTCAAACACACACACACACACTAACAGACACACACTAACAGACACACACACACATTAACATACACACACTAAAAGACACACTCACACTCACTAATAGACACACACACACACTAACAGACACACACACACACACTAACAGACATACACACACACTCACTCACTCACATTAACACATTTTTTTTAATTTAACCTCCCCAGCCTCCTTACCCTTGGGAATGCTGGGGTGGGTTCTCTTTCTCCCTGGGGGTCCAGTGGCTGCTAGGCATGCGGGCTGCTAGGCGGCTGGCGAGGGAGCACTTCCCCTGAGCACTCTGCTCAGCTCCCTCGCGCGTTGCAGAGTGAAGCTGGGAGCCGGAATATGATGTCATATTCCGGCTCCCAGCCTCACTCTGCGGCGCGCGAGGGAGCTGAGCAGACAGCTCAGAGGAAGAGCTCCCTCGCCAGCCGCCCGCCTGCCAGCGCCGCCCGCCCAGCCCAGCATGTCAGTTAGCCGCAAGGCTAACAAGACATTTGCCCTGGGCATTTGGGGGCGGCGTTTTTTGTCGCCCCCTGGAAAATGCCGCCCAAGGCAAATGCCTTGTTTGCCTCATGGCTAAAACGTCTCTCCTCATGTATCAATGTGCAACATTTTAGAAAAAATACATGACCCGTAATATGCATCACTTTGTACAGGTACAATTAAACTATTCTCTTTATATTGATTAATAGTTTTTATATGTATATATTCTAATTTTTATGTCCTGAGGAAAGTTCACAATTGTGGACTGAAACGTCGACCATTTGACAAGTTGGATTAAAAGTCTTTTTTTTTTTGATATTGAAGTCCTCGAGGGCTAGCCTTCTATTTGGATGTTATATATTGTAATAAGTAGAAAAAAAAACCACTGTAGTGAGCAAGAAATTAAGTTGTTTAAAGTGAACCTTATTATTATTATTATTACATTATGGAATTTAACTTATCTTAAATCGCTCCCATAAAAGTTGAATGCACCATATATCACAAAGGTACATGGTGTATTCAGTGTAAAATATAAAAAAATTATTCACTTTCCCTATGTTCCAGTGCCGCCATCTCAATGCTTTGTGGGTGCTACTCTCCAGATCCACATTCTCTGTTTCTCCTATGCTCCGCTTCTGTTCTTGCATCCCCAAGCAGGGCAAATCTAATAAGTGACGTCAGCACACTGGCTTCATTGCCAGAGTGCTGACATTGGAATGGAGTAACGTCTCTCTCTTTCTCTACTTTCATAGCTACTGCAGCATATTCACTGTAGTTGCTATGGGAGGAGAGCAGAGGGATCTCCTGTGGGAGGTATTTTATGCTGTCCCTTGTAGGTCAATACCTCTGGACGCCAAAACGGCTACCATAATGTATCGATAAAATCTTATGCTCAATCAAATGCGCATAAGTTGTTTGGGGCACGACAGGTGCCTTTTAAGAATGGTTTAACAACTTACCAAGGATGCACATGTTGCCAGCCGCCACCTCCTCTGAGCTTCTGTTAGCTATACTGACCAGAGGCTGGTTTATTGTCTGTTAGCATTACCTGAGTATTTACTGCCAATGAGCACTCCCAGGCACCACCAGGCTTAGCTCAGTGCAGGACCTAAAGTAAGTTGTCAAACCAATTTTAAACTATTTAACTACTTACACTGGATAACCACTACAGCATTTAACAAACCATTATTAAATTTTTTATGTATTCTAGCAATATCTTGGATGGCAAAGAAATATTTGCTGTACTTTAGTTTTCGTTGTGTATTTGCATCTGGCAATTGAATTATTTGTTTGTTTTAACAATGAGAGATAACCAATATAATATATTATAATTTTCAGGAAGATGAGCTAAAACAGATTGCTGATAATATAGAAGGAATCAATCAGAATAAATCACCTACAAAATTTATTGGAAACTATGCTATTTTAGATCACCTTGGGAGTGGAGCTTTTGGAAGTGTATACAAGGTGAGCTTTGCTTTTCTAGCATTTCTAAAGGCTCACTAAAGGTTGTTTATCTTATCTGTTCTTAATGTTCTAGAAAAAAAATATCTTATAACATTCCTACCTTGTTCCACAATGTTTATGTTATGAACTTAAAGATGAAGCGAATAAAAGTCATGTTATATTTTCCACTTTGTTGTGTGCTTACTCTACATTATTTTTTCTATTTTCCATTCTTTTAACCTTTTTGTGAGCCATTATAACTTAAAGAAATCATAGACAAGGGAAAGCTCTAAAGTTTTGTTCTTAGGGGATGGTAGAGATAGGTTAGGTTAAGGCACTTCGACGTACAAAATTCTTGGATTCTCGACATGAGATACAAGTAAAGAGAGTTATTATTGCATAACAATATTAAAACAGGCTTTTGAATTGAAAATAGGCTAATGGGTATTAGAGAATTAGAGATAATGAAGTAATAGAAAAAAGAGGAAATCGAAAAAGCGAAATGGGGAAAATGATTGAAGAAAGAAGGGAAAAAGAAAAAAGTGAGAAGGAATAGAAATTGAATTGGCCGTTGAAAAGTTTTCAAAGGCTTTAGAAAAAAAAAAGGAGCAGACTGGTGTGAGGACGTGAACAAAGGTGGAAAGTTAGGTAACTGAAAGAAGAAGGAAAATGTTGTAAATGAGATAAAAAAGGCATATTTATATTTTAAAGAATCCCTGGGGAAAGAGAGCTGTGCCGTGATGATGACAGGGAAAGGGAAACTTGCGATAACGGAGATTGGTAAAAGAAGAATAAAGAAAAGAAAGAAAACTATTAAACAAAGAACACAAAAGACTGCAGACAACAGAGGTGGCTAAGGCAAGGCAAGGTGGGGATATAACAGGGAGAAGACATTAGAAGTAAAATGGAAAACAAGTTAGAACGGCAGAATGAAAGGTTTAGGCTCAGAAGGGTAACAGTAGTAGACCAAAAGGGTGATGATACACATAGGATGATAATACACATTAGAAAGCAACAAAGCCTTGCGTGGGGGCACACAAGGTGAAATAAGTTAGAGAATATTTTTTTTTCAGCAGTCTTTAGGAGAGCCAAATGGGTTAAAGGCTAAATATTTACTAAAGTCTTAGCATATTTAAGTATTTAGTTGTAGAATACCTTGTATGTTGTGTGATATTCATTACTTTTCATTTCCTCATCTATTATTACAACTTGGTAATTTTGCTTAAATATTGCACTTTGGTTTTTCAATGCATTAAAAATGAATAATTAGTGGATAGTTCTCAGCGTGTACAGTAGCATTATAGCGTGTGGCCTAATTCTTGTGAGCCATGAAGACAAAACACGTAACCATGCACACTTCTAAGAGTGATCCTGACTGTGAATGGGTGTCGTGCATTGTGAGGTCATCCTTCTACTGTATGATGTCACTGCTACAGAAAAAAAAGTCATAAACATAGCGATTATTATGCAGGATCCCGTAGAACTTGGTGACTCACATACTACTGATCATGACAGAGATATCTCAGAAAAGTGTATTTTAAGAAAGTCTGAAGCTAATGTGCTTTTGCATAGAATAATACAAGATGCGTCCTTTTTTCTTATCTCGTTTTTTCTAATAAATCCTTTTGTGCAGGTCAGAAAACGCAGCGGACAAATTCTCTTTGCAATGAAGGAGATTAATTTACACAATCCGGCTTTTGGAAAAGACAAAAAAGACCGTGATAACAATGCAGAGAACATTGTTTCTGAGCTGTCAATAATCAAGGAACAAGTAAGTTTGTCTTTATACTAATATTTTCATTTTATTTTAATATCCTTTCTTACATGCTGAATAACAATATTTAAATATTGTTTGAATATTTTTTATTGAAATACACTCCTTCATTTTCTTTAATTCTTAAGTAAAAGCTGCTAAAGTTTCTCATATAATGGAGCTAGCTACCTTTATTTAAATGTAAATTAGATGTAATGGCAAAAACAGTATCTCAACAGTAAACAACATAATGTGGGCTGTTGTAGAGAGGATGCTGAATATTGTGTGTGTGTGTGTTAAGAACCACAGAAGAACCACAGAAGAACCACTGACATGCCATGGGTAACCACATTTGAGTCTCAATGGGGGACTGTGTGGGTGCAGGGTGGGCCATTGGTAGCATAATGCTGAAGGGTGGCTGAGACTGCAACAGTGGACAAATAAGTTGCACAACACAGTTACCATGCTCCCAACCTCCCTCCGTATTATTTGCCTAAAGTGCCCATCAACCCTCCAACTTGCTTTCAACACTGGCAGTACCTTACCCATCCACCCTGCAACCTTTTTTTTCATTACAATATTCAACAATGTAAAACATGCCATTCCTTTCACAACTTGGTAATGCTGACTCATGACTGCATTAAATCCAGCCAAAGATGCAATGTCAACAGTAATTTACCATGCCACATTGATATTTGATTTTTAAATATTAAATTCTATGATCTATCAAACTCTTCCTTCCTATGTTTAATTTAGTCTATACTGTATGCTTTTTTGCAGCTGTGCCACCCAAATATAGTGCGGTACTATAGAACGTTTTTAGAAAGTAAGTATCATCTAGTCTAGTATGTAATTAAGGTTATGTGTAATCATACTTGTAAAATAATGTCGACAATACCTGTTCTAAAATTTTCTTTTACTAAACACTTTAAACGCTGGAGATTACTGAAAGACCATCTACGGTTGTTGGTATCTTCATACAGAGATTATTACCTTAGCAACTGTACAGTTTGTTGTGTCAAATTTAATTTATGCTAAGCTTAAAGTACTGTAATAAGCTACAGATAAGTAATTGGAGTGATATAAATAGATGTTACTTTGCTGATAAACAGGAAGAAGATGTCCTACTGACTAAAGGAACCTCTGTAGAACCTCGAAAATATATTGTTCACAGTTGCAGACTTCCTATTGCATCAGCAAACCTTGAGAAAAAATGTCTTGGAATAAACTTGTTAGCGATGGTCTGAATATTACAGAAAAATAATGTTTCTTTATTGTGGTTACCATAGATGACAATCTATATGTTGTTATGGAACTCATTGAAGGAGCTCCTCTTGGAGAGCACTTTAAATCTCTGAAGGAGAAGAAACAGTATTTTATAGAAGAACGGCTTTGGAACATATTCATACAGGTGAAAATAATATAAAAATTTGTTAAAACTTAATATTTTACTTATTAACACACACACACAAACACACACGTGAGGCTTTTGAGATGTGCAATTGAAGTAGGCTCATTCATGAAAAAATATTAAGTAATGTACTTGGCAAACTAGTAGAATTGATGTGCATATGGGCAGCTACTGTGTTGGCTCACTAATAGACAGCTATTAGAGAGCTTAATCAAGTCACCAAAGACTTTTACAAGCAATCAAATCGATGTATGGTCTAGACAAGCATAGATTGTCTTGTGACAGCACGTAATGGAGAGTGGGTGGGTGTATAGCTGCGGTGATCAGTTCATGATCAATAGTCTATCTTAAAGAGAAGATTTTGTTAGGCCTAAACACATCAGTTTACAAGGTAAATTGTAGCCATTTTAAAAATGAAGCAATACCCAAACATTTACTTACTAGATTGTATAGACAAAGCATTCGAGCAGGCAAAAAATTTAATTATAAACTTAAAATGAGAATAAAAAGATATTCACCTTCAAATATCTTGAAGCTGCACAGCTAAAAGACGATGTTTGCAGCTATAAGATAACCCCTCCCTTACCTAGAAGAGATTTTATCCTATAAATCCCTGTCCATTGATGCTTTATGGAATAAATATTTTATTTCCCAGTAACAGTTCACATTAGTTGAGCGAAACTGGTTAATGCACTGATAACCAGGCATCTGCTATCAGTTTATACACAGTCTGGTTAACAGTTTTTAAACTGGACTGTGCCACAAGAGGTCTTGATCACAAGAGCTCCAGACCACACACGCACTTGGCCTCATCTTGTCTCTCTGGAGAGGACAGAGTCATTTTTCCTGCTTGTATTTGTGGTGCGTGTATGACACACAGACACGACAAACAAATTTAACATGGCAAAAGACGAACTGCAAAGTCTCTTTATTCTGGAAAACCCAAGACATTTTCCAGATGCTTTTCAAGCTTTCATGACTAGTAGACTAGTAGACTGGGATTCGCCCAAATTTCGGACAATCAGCGGATTATCCAAATTCCATAACTCTGAAGCATGAAGCACCACATGGATAAATAATTAACAAATAATCTGACAGTGGATGTGCATGTTTGTCTGTTTTTGTAATTTCCATCCATGGTGCCAAAAAAACAGGTATTAGATGGGAATAAAGATGATTGAAGGCCACTAAATTGATTTCATTCACAGATCAAGCGACAAGCGACCAATAGTCGGAGGAGCAGTGAAATAAATACAGATTTTTTTACTGCTCAACTCTATTTTTCCCTCTTTTACTTACTTTTTCTCACTTGATCTGTGACCCAATTAGAACTAAAATGCACCTATCAATGTACTGTGAAATACATACATACTATTTATATTTTGCAGCACTCTGATTTGCCCAACTTTTTGGTTCATCTGATCATTTTCCCAAATATTTTGCGTGGACAAAATTTGAATTAGACAAAATGTCACAGGGGCAAATATCAGACTACCCGAATACATTTTTGCACCATGCACAAGTTTGTTTATTGAACACTATTTTGCAAAAGCAAGATTTTTCATGTTATGTAATTCTAAGATGAACAAAATGTGATTGTCAATTACCAGTTATGGGAAATTATATTTATGCACTAATTATATGTACTTCCTCTTAACTTTCGTTTTGGGAAATAAGGCCATCCTGAAACAGTCACACAGAGATGTGTTTAAAAGTCATGTTTTAAAAACATGCTCACATTCACATTTTACAATACATTCTTCTATCGTCTAATCTGGATTAAAGGGAAACTTGCTGCTCTGGAAATCTCATCATCAAAGGAAAACTTCAATGTTAGAAAATAAAATACAATTTCTTCCAGCTTTGGAAGGTTTATTTTAAATTTAAATTCAGCCCTCCCTCAAGTTTCCTAAAAAAAAGAAGTTACCTATAATGCAGTGAGAATACTACCTTTTCTCAGCATCTTTGCTCCACCACCCATAGAAAAGCATTGGGATGCTGACAGCATACACAGCAAATGCCACGATCAGCCAGTAATGCTTCTCGTACAGAAGCATTAAATCCATTGCTGCTTTATGAGAAGCCCTCCCTTCTGCCTTGAGCACTCAAGGTGAATGAGGACGGGAATGATCATTACTATCATGGTGATAGCCAATAAAAATCAGACTTGGTGACAGCCAATGGATGTTACCAAGATGGTTTATAAAACTGCCAATTTTTTTCATGATATTTAAAATTTTATACCATTAGACAAAGGGCACAGACAGACAGCCGTTAAAGCACTTTAGCAAGCTGAGGTGCTTTATGAGCTTGGTGTTTCTTTAAATAAGACATTGAACATCTCCTATACCCTCAATACTTTGTGTTAAAGCAGCTATGTCAATTTCATTGATGTTCCTATATGTAGGTAGTGGAAGTGCACTCAACCCTTCATCCTGGAATCCTGGGTGCTGAACTGGATAAGTTTCTATATTCAAAACTATATATTTTGTTATTTTTATTGATGTTCCAACACAATCCAAAGATTCTGTCAGACAAAGTATGGAGTACTTTATCTTACAGTCATGCCTGAGGTTGACAAAATGCGCAGATCCTCTGTCAACTTTAGTCCAATCCCAGCAGCTACCACTAGTTAGTTTCACTCATTGTTTCACTCATTGTGAGACATGATATATGGAGGCTCACACAGGATCCCCCATAGAGCTCAGTGTTGTATGCTTGTGCATTAACAAGCGTACAGCGCTGGCACAGCTCCTGGCAGATAAAGTGCCAGGAACCAAGGAGAGTCTCCAGGACCAAGATGGCAGTGTTCAAAGGACAGCTTCAGGCAGGTAAAAACTAAGTTTGACTGCACCCTACATCCACTGAACCCTAACTGAAAATGTCGCCAAGGGGAGTCTTTTTATTTTTTACACATTTTTTAAAAATCTATTAAATTTATATTAAACATTTAGCAAATTATAACACAATGCATTTCAGTCCAGGCACTTTGGGTGCGCACAATGCAAATGAGGAGGAGAAATACAAACTTTTCTCCTTTTTGTCTCTATGCTGACTGCAAGGGCAGAGCTTATAACCAGGTCTGAAAAGAAGCTAAGATGGAGGTGCCCACTTGCAGGGTGAATATGTGAGGATGGATACATTTAATTTTAGTTTTCAGACATCACAAATACATATTTGTTATTTATAGGGATATGTAAACATAATATAAAAAATTCCAAGAAGTACCACATTGGAAAATTTAGCCCAAAATAGCCAGGCTGGGGCCAGTGCTCTTGACAGCTCTATGTTTTATCTGTCCTCCTTATGTACTGGTCACATACACACATAGACAAGCAACCACACATGGAGTCACATATAAACACAAACTGACAGTTAAAAACAGAGTCAAATACATGCATAAATACACACAGTCACATACATACATACATACATACATACATAACACACAGTCACACATACACAGTCATTCACATAGATGCACACATACACACAGTTATGTACATGGACATGGTCATACATATATACATGCACATAGAGTCACATGCATAGACAGATACCATTACATACAACTATTTAGATATATACACACACATTTACATGCAAAACCCTCTTTACTGCTGCCCTTGCTTAATGGCCTACACTAAAATATGTGCTTGGCTGTGAGTAAAGATGGGTTACAGATTTTTTCCATATCTGCTATAGCCTAAATTTTGCATTTGGGGTTTCATTTTGTTCCTTTTGACAGAATAAAAAAACTAATAATTAAAAAAACATAATGTTGAAACAGTTATTTTAAGAATGTGTTTTAAGATAGAACCAATGTATTTATTTCTGCTAAAGTGCAAAATGTAAAATGGTGGTGAGAGCACTCAAAACATGCATGTACGATATACATGTACCAGTGGTACATATAAAGGACATTTTACCTGTATTCAATACTATTTTTAATTTTATGTAGTATTTTAATAATAAAATCAGTTTGGATTTGATTCTGCATCCTGGAGTGATTTTGGAGAGCATTTCCAGCGCGGATCTATCAAGTTTGATACAGGACGTCCAAAATTGAGATTTCTCATCTCGTTACAAGCCCTAAATCTGAGTCAGCTTTTAAAGTGACTCAGTAATATGTGAGTTTAACCAGTCACAAAATATTACTTGCATATATTTTAACAATATTATACTATGGTTCTGTGCTTTATGTTTTGTAGATATTCCAACTAAACCAAGTTCTGGTAATATATCGTACATGCATGTTTTGAGTGCTGTCACCACCATTTTACATTTTGCACTTTATTGATATCTGGTGTGTTGGAGTGGTTCACACTAGGTGATAGTAGCACCTATATTATACTTTGTTCCTTATAACTTTTTTATTTCTGCTAAAGTGTTTCTCTCTTAATTTAGCTGTGTTTAGCACTGAGGTATTTGCACAAGGAAAAAAGAATCGTCCACAGAGATTTATCACCTAACAATATAATGCTTGGAGAGAGAGATAAAGTTACAGTTAGTAAGTATTGACAGAAAAAAAGGCTTTTCTATTGCATTTAAAATCTGCAATGTTCTATACAAGCTCATATCCATCAGGTTCTTTAGTAACACCTTCACACCTCCCTTTCTATCTAATCTATTCCCCTATTCAATTTGCCACATTATTTCATAGTTATATTTTTGTAATTCATTTTTACATTTGCCTTTTATAAAGTATCACTTCTCTGTGTTTGTTGATGAACATTGCAAGTGTATTAAATATCCAGCCTTTTATAGCTTTACTGTCTGCAATGGTGTGATAAAAGAGCCAAAATATTTTTTGATCATGTGATTTACTGCTAAGTATTCAGAAGCTGTAACTCAAACTCTACATCTCGATCACAGTCCTCTTATCTGTACATTGTCTTATCTGCAGATCATATTTTTCTGTTTCGCTTGCACGTTAATAGCTACTTTAAGCCACTTGAACACTTATTCACTGTTCCCAAGTATTGCCAGTGCCAATAATGTAACGTGTGCATGTTGTTTGTAGAATACTCTAAATCATTGCTCTGCTGGTGCCCATTACCGTTCCTTGATTGTTGATTCAGTTCCTCAGTGTCAATCTCAGCAAGGTGTATGCAACATAAGATGTGCAAAATCAGTATGATCTACTTTATTTTTTGTCATCATAGCTTAGTGTCCATGGTAATGTAAGGAGGATTACTTACTAACTCTATTGTTAGTAAGAGTATACTACTGTGTTGTGGGACACTGTGTATACTAACATTAGCTACAGTTATAACACAATTACATTTAAGTCAGTTACAAGCTACTATTAATATCATTTTCTTGTTGTATGAATAGTGAGCAGGAATCATAGCAACTCTGCAGACACTAGAAGGGCAGGAGTTCCTTCATGTATGGGAGGAGTAAAAAAAAAGACATTTTGATTGATGTATTTTGTTTGGATTTTAGCGAGAATATTGGCAAACCATAAATATATTTATTTCAGTCCTGGGGCTGTACCCACTAGTTAGTTGCGATACAACTAATCACTCCATAAATTCACCTTTACTATATTCTTGAAGCCAAAGATCTGTCTAACTCTGCATCAGCAATCCCTCTCTATGTATAATATGTCCATGTATTGAGATGAAAATAGAGCATTACTATTAGTATATAGCTAATGTACAGTAGAATGAATGCAAAAATGTTTAGTGCTTAACATCGTAAATTTAAGAAAGTGTGGCTGTGCTTTGAATCCTTTTAATTTTTATGCTTTCTAATTTCAATTACAATATTAAGTTAATGATATTTTATTCAAATGTCTATCTATCTATCTATCTATCCATCCGTCTGTCTGTCTGTCTGTCTGTCTGTCTGTCTGTCTATCTATTAATCTATTTATACACTATCCAATGTAAAAACTGTCATTTTATTGTCTTACCACTGTGGGGTGCTGTTGGTCTTTGCATATAATAGTGTTTTTTTCTTCTGTTTTATTTCACGAACAGAAAACTCAGTAAATTATTCTGAAATGTATAGATAGTGATTCTTTTCATAGATATATTTCACACTTCCAAAACTACTTGCAATTTTTTCGATGCAAACTGATTCAATTCTGCTGCAAAGTGCTTAATAATGCTAAATCACACTGGTACATAATTGACTGTACTGCTCATATGTTGTTTCTTAAATAGTTTTAGATACATAAATTCTGAATTTCAATATTTACAGTAAAATTTATTGCACAACATATATACCTTAACAAAGAAAAGATGAAGGGAAAAAAGTGCCTTCATCATTTATGCATTTATGCACAATATGCAGTATACATAAAACAGTTTGTTTTATTTCAGTTTCTCAAATTAAAATGACTGTAGCAAGCCAAGATGTATTCTTTGGTATATCAGTGGCATTTATTTTCACGCTCAAAACTCACACACTGACCATGAGGATTCTGATACGGATACATTTATCTTTAACACTCAGTATTAGATATACTGATGGTCACAATATCTTATGATATGCAAATTGGGGCCAGTTGTAAGGTATATAAAAATAGTATAAACCTCAAGCACGTCCTTTAAGATAGTAGGTTTAGTGTGCCATAATCTCTGAAAAGGCAGTGTTTACAGCAAAAAGACTGCAGGGACAGGCCGTAGACACCAGCACAACTACATTAAGCTTTCCCTTTAATGTTATACTAGCATATGTCCATATTCTAAATGACAGACATACATGCTGGCCACCTATTCAATAATGTAATCAAAATGACAAACAATAAATTACAATCTAATAAACTGGATTGCATGGTTTTCTCTAACAAGTAGTATAGCATTAATTAAAAGCTATTGTGACTCTTTTCATGTAATTTAAAATCTGTGCTAGGATATTAAGTACACGTTGTAAAACAATCTGTAGCTTTGTATTTTATATTTTTTATATATATCTATATCTATATATATATTCTATTAGCATTCCATTTTTTTTTAGCGTTTTAAAAAGCTAATTAGGAGTTAGATGGAGCGACTGCATTAACATGTCCTTGAGGCTATATACTCTTGTATCACTTTTGTACAGAATGTTTAATCTGTTTATAAGTGTAACATACATCTATTAAACACATAACACAGCTTGTCCTTATTGACTGTGTAGAATATATTTATTGCATTTGTATATCAAGTTTTATCTGCTGGTCAACAAGAGGAAAAATAGAGCTGTGTTTAGATTGGAAGAAGAGTGAATAGGTTATGGCTTTAGTTGTATATATCTGTACTTGTGCCCTTGACTTCTTCTAACATTATTACGGGTACTGTTAAAGATAAGTGTAAAGTGCTTGTAAGAAAAATGGTATTTAAGCACGCAGTATACCATGGAGGGAATACAAGAAACAGAAGTATTTACAGCTAATGCATAGTATGTGAAAAAAAGTTGCAGTAATGATTGTTCCATCTAACTTTTAATATTTGTACATTAACCCACAAAAATCAGCATAGCGCATGCACTAATTAAAATTAATTTTCTAGCAAAACAGAATTAATAATGTCCCTTCTTTCTATTTTATCCTCATGATCCAAATTCACAAATTCACATATAAATAAAACAATTTTTTTAACATTAGCATACACTATACCGTGGGGGTCATCATCCTTCTTGTCCCCTGTAACAAGTATTTTATTTTGTTTTATGATCCTTCTCATTTACTTTGTCTGATCTGGGTGCAAGGCATGACGTTTGACAATAAAATACATTCATGACTTACTATCTGTTTTGTTTTCTGTTTATACTCTGTTTAATCCTGTATTAAAAGAGATCATATTACAGTTGTGTGAATACAGTATAAAATAATTATCATTATCCCCCACCTTATGGTCAGGTGGATAAGGGGATATAGGGGACATGCAGGTCCTGTCCTAATACTATACTCATACTCTCCATTTCCACCATGAAAATTGCATAATTATGGAAGCTAAATATTTTACAGGCTTGTGGGTCTTGTGAATAGCAGGCATATTTTCCACTGATTTTCCCAGATCCTATTACTGATAAAATGATCTGTTGTAAATAAAGTTTTTTTGCATGTGAAAAACCTCATTAGCAACCGAACAGCTAAGTCTATTGCTGCCACCAACAAATATTGACTTATCTGTGACATCATGTTATGACCTCACAATACATGCACATGAGTGCATGTATTGTTCATCAGCAGAAGGACTGGCAGAAGTAGGACCTGGAGCAAAATTGTACTCTCTCTATTTTCTCATCTCTTCATTTGGCAAATAACAAATGGGAAAGGGGATGAATTGATCATGGTAACAGCGCAGAGAGAAAGAGAGAGAAGAAACAAAATGGGGAATCGTGTATTATGAGAAAAGGATGTATATTCCAAAAATTGGGAGCTAATAAGACTTGTGGGAATACTAGTTGAAAGTGAATTAACTAGTACTTACTGTTTTCTGTTAACAAACATATTTGTATTAATTTAATGTCATATACGTAAAGTTTTACATTACTGTCAGTGTCCCAAACAGTCTGACAGTCCAACTGTCTGGTCTGTAGAATACTCAGGAAGCACATCAGCTCAGATAAGAAGAATATGGATTATTCAAATACCAAAGAATTATGCTTTAAAATACTAGTTTTGTAAGTGTGTATACATCTTTGATTTAAAACATATATAACGTGTACATTGTTTGAGTTTAAATGTATAATATGCCTCTTACAGCACAACGTTACATTTGTAAATCATTTTATTTTCTCAATTTAAAAATTCTTATCCTGTCGCTTTCATTAGAGAAAAAAATGATACTGGCTCCATGTTTAAACCAGTTTTTTTTCACCAGTATGTCAGACTTGTTTTGGTGTGATACATGCAAGCCATGACATCATGACATCAAATAGAGAGTCACACGTAGAGCCTCAGCCACTGCTGCCCTTTAGAAAGGCTGATATGCACACACATATGCTAATCAATTGTAGGATATTTAGAGTTATAGGAAATGAGAATATTATTTTCTTAAAATTGAGAGTTTCCTCCTTTATTTAAATGAAGGTTAATTAAATTAACTACATTATTTAAGTCTTTACAATATT